GACCACATGCAAAAATTCAGCTAATTTGGAGCAAAAAAAGAAAAGCAACCAAAATCGTCACTTATCCCCTTTTATGACTAGCTTCTTCATTTGCCCTCAAAGCTTCGCTTCTCGGCCAAATATTCATTTTTCAGACAATATCTCAGCCGCAGACATTATCAGCCAACATACCAGGCGCCAGAAGGGGTTTATTTACCAATTATGTATGTACAAGGCTATGATATCAGACTGAAAAGATCGGGCAGACTTTCCCAATTTCATCATCATATCATTGGCAAAATGGCTACAAACAAATAATTACATTACAACTTGCACTCCCTTTAACAATAAATTATTATTCACTCAATATTGTCACCTTGGGGTTGAGCAGTTGATGTACAAATGAGATACTAAGTCATAATTTACGCACTGCTTTCACAAAAAAATGCAGCAAAATCACTGTCAGTGATATTACCCTTTACTGCATAAAAACTCAAATTTGCACTCACATGTTTGAAACAGCAATCAGGAGCAGCTTTGCTTAATGCAGCTTCCATGTAATCGCTCCATGTAAATTTATGAGGGGTTTCACCTTCAGCAACTGAAAAAAGGAAATGGTATAAAATTATTTAATAGCCAAAATTAGATCTCGATCACTGTGTGTTGATTAGCTCATTGAGGTTAAAAACTGTCCTGCATGGGTTGGAAATGGATCTTTTTTGGAGCTGTATATTAACAGAGTAAAGGCCCAGACACCTGTGCAACATTGCGTGTTTTACTACTCGCAATGGTTAAATTGAATCACGTAATTGCTGCATGCAGTATTACATGTCATATATTGCAGAGGTAGAATCCTGTAGTGCATCTGGCCTTTTACTGTGATCCTGAATATGGCAAGTTGAAGGGTATGACTGGCCACAAAAAGAAAGTTATTTGTTTCAAGACCATGTGATTTACAAGCAGGTGTGGTGAGATGTCAACTGAAAATGATATATCAAGCTTTCTAAGTGTTTCTGTGACTAACCTCCTGCAGTACTCCCTTCATCAGAGTCCTGTCCATTGTCCTCGCCTTCTTTCTTCTGAAAATTAGATGAATTCACAGATATCAATGTTAGTTTTGAAACGCTGATCATTTATCAATTTCCTTTGCAACTTCCTACTGATTTATTATCAGTTATTATGCAAGCCAAGTACGTGATTTCAAAATCAAAGCTTTCATAAAATCGTGATTTTCCTAGTATGTAATAGTTCTAGAAATTTTGCTGCTAGGAAATTGTCTTTATTGTGGGTGCCACGTTTCTCACAACGTCCTAGTTTTTCACGTAGCATAGGCAATATAAGACGACGTGCAACTTCTTTTAGTCAGACATTGGTAGTGAAGTTACACTGCTACCGTGCTACGATCAAAGGATCCAAGTTGCCGCTATTTCAAGTGTATTTCGATCGCTGTCTCTCTCCTACCTTTTGGTGCGAGTCGGCAACCAAAGTACGTAAGTTCTTATTGTTGTAGTTATTTACTAAGTCGCGAATTGTTTGTCTTTTCTTTATCACGAATAGGTTTCATTTAGTTTATCTAGGTTTTGTTGAAATCGCTTTCACAGCTCTACTATTGCTAAGGCTTATTGTCAAGTTGCTTTATTAGTCCAATAGTCATATGATTACCACATTGTGATTCTTTCATGCTATATTTAGCTATTTTGCAAGATAGCCGTTGATATCTTCATTTGTTACGACAAGAATTGTTATCGTCTCAGTTTTATTACTTTCAAGTATCAATTGCCACGTCTATTTGTTTCACGCTGTGATCTTGTTAGTTTTATTATGATTTTTCTATCCTGTTAGATTTTTATTTTATGCCTTATCTAAGTAGGATGTATTCTTAACTAGCGCTTCTCAGTTCGAACCTACTACATCTACTTGTACAACTACTACTCCTATTCGTATCTGCTACCACTAGCGATTTACTGATTTTCGCTATTTCTTCAGTCGCTATGTATTGTGAACTAGATCTATAGACTTGATCTGTCATTAAATCAGTTTGAATCTATCAAGTGGAGTTCGAATATCTTGCACCGCGCTACCCTGTAGTTGTTTAAGACTTGAGTAAAGGCAACCTCTAGAATCTTTACAATTACAATCAATATATGTGGCTCCGGAAAAAAACCTTCCACAGAATTTTCAATGACCTTCATTGAGACAGGTCTGGGTATTTCCTTGAGTGACTTCTAAGGTTTACAGTCTGCTGCAATTCTCAAAGATTTCAAGACACTTGATGGTTCATTATTGCCTGTGCTACACTCCAGTTTCATCCTATTGTTATTAAATGACTGGAAGTACTGTACCTCCCGACCTCCCTTTCACTGGGATGCTTACTACTCCATCACAGTGCAGGTTAACTCCTAACCGTCTTCCGAATTCAATCTAAGTTACAAATGTACAGCTTTTAAAAGTCTAGCTGCTGTAATGCCATGAAGATGAAATTTGATTATTACCTAAAAACTTCTTAAACCATCTGGCTTAACCTGTTTGGTTTGCCTATGATCACTGACTTCTACCCAGCTGTGTATCTCAGTATAATGTCGTAATAGTATCCCCTGCACCAAGTACCGAATTTCACATGGAAGCCACTGTACTACCCAAGTCAGACCAAAAAACACTCTAACTAATACCACTGGTTTCAACATGTATTTTCTCAAAATATATAGTACTAAATAATTAACACCAGAAATGAAGGAAAAACATTAATTGCTAGCAAGACATAACTTGAGAGTACTCCATCATGGATTGTGAACAACAAGTTAGTGGCATAAACAACTTCATTATGTGTCGCAGGTGTTGCCTAAGGGCCAATTAAATACTGGCAGTTATGATACATTATGGTGGCTCAAAGCATGATAAGATGCAACTTTTGGCAAAGTTTAGAAACATTCTGTATATAGGGTTCAGAGCTACCTTAAATTTTCAAATCTTTAACGCGGCTCTGAACCCTACGTACAGATTTTTTTAAAATGTTGCCAAACAATGCATCTTATCATGCTTATAAAAATTTCATAATATAAAAAAAATTCACTGTGGGCACCGTTTTTGAGTTATAAGCCCCTAAAGCTGTAATTAATGGTGTTTTTAGAAGGTCATACCATTACTATGGTAACCTTTTGAGTCACAGAAATGATAACAACGTGTTCACCAATGATTGGGCAGTTTTTGGATACCATGATTGTAGCATAAAACGATAACGTGTGGTTATAATGATCCATCAAAAACTAACTGCTGCACGGAAACTGTTTTGAGCCACCTTAATTAAGTGATCTCCACCACTCTAAGAGGCATTTAGAGTCACATACCTTTAAGTTAGCTCTCCTAGAACTTCGAGAACAACCTTTAGAGCAGAATCTCTTGAGAGGGGAGCAAAACCGCCGCCTCTTGACTGGACCACCACAGAACTCACAGCATCCCAAAACATGAGGATCTACAATTTTCCCAAATTTGACAGGCTTCTCATCTTCATCCTGCAGGTAATTATCTTCGGCTTTATCTTCAACAGAAACTGAAGGAGTTGAATCTGTGACAGCTGCAGCTGTGGGGGTAATGATGTCTGTTGCTGTTCCAGTTTCTGTTGCCAGGGGTTCAACATTTGTTGCATTGGTATTAAGGGGTGCATCTTCAGTTGCTGCTTCACTGGTTTCAGGATGAAATCCCTGAAAAAGAATGATTAATTGAAAGTTAACATACCTGAAATAAATTGTAACATTGTGCATTTTGAAAAAAAAGACCTGTTCATTTTAACAGGGCTGTCACAAAGTTTGTTGCAAAGTTTTAAGTGGGTAGTATTAATCATTGTGGTTGATATTTCCATCTCTTTCTAAAGAATCAGATATATACCCTTGCAGGGTAGCAGGCCAAAATTATCAAAAAGTGACGCTATTCACAACAATTACACTAGACAATACACATATACAACAAAAATGAAAAGGAGGCTGAAGTCTCCACCCTGTCAAAATCGCCTACATGTACATATACCACTGAGCAGAACTTATCCAGACCTTTTTCCCTCAGCATACCCATCCCTCTTGAAAGGGAATGGTAACTCCCAGAATTTTTCCTAGTTGCCCTATAGCTTTAAGCCATAGGCTAACAGATTGATAGTAAAAAAACTGTAGTTACTGACTATATAGGTGAAGAGATGCATTGGGAGTCTGACAAGACTTTCCCAATAACACAACACTGCAATCAGACCAAGGCTTAAATGTAATCCCAGACTACTTCATCTGAAGTCTATTAAGTCATGAATGTCACCCATATTACATGTAATTAGGCCACTCATTTTGAACATTTCTCATACCACACATAAATAAAGGAAAACGTAATGTACAGTACAAAATAACATTTGTAAGTAATGTATAATATACAATATCATAAAACAAAAAGTATAAACTTCTAACACTTAAGTATATAACACTTAAGTGATATTAAGTTTAATCCATAAAACATTACATTTCACAAGATCAGGCTCATGACTCATAAATTACACTCATCTGAAAGACTGCCAGAATTGAAATTGACATATAAATAATTATTTTTATTTAATAAACCTATTTTGAGTCTTACATTTGCATCTTCTAGAACTGATTCCATGTTGTCATCAGCTTTATTGCCAGAATCCATACTATCCTCATGCGTGACATCAGAAATTGATTGACAGTTCTCCTGCACAGTTGTATTCTCTACTGATGCTAACACCTCTGCAGCTTCATCACCAATGCCAGGGTTGAACATCTCAGATTTTTGCTGATCATCTGTGTCCATCAGTGTTGCATCATTTACACCAGAAGGATCCTGCTCTGGTGTAGGGTCTGCATCCATCTCCCTAAAACCCAAATGAAATATTTGTTTAAAATGAAATACAAATCTCCAAAGAAAATGAAAATTGATTTGAGAAATCAGGAGTTTGAGATAACCATGATAAAATTAAACTAAAGTGAAAAAAATCTGAAGCAAAATTATGACTTATGGTCTGAGTTATTAGGGACGTTTGGAAATCAAGCGTTTAAGAATTCAGGATTCTACTGAACATGCAGGGGACTTAATTGTGCAGCAGCCAGTTTCTATACACTGCTGGCACAAAGCAGCTACTTACTAGGAGGGCGTGTTTGAAACATGAAATAGCGAAATGACAAAATGGCACTACAGGTAAGAGTGTGGGATATGGGTGTACAGTGTCTGTAAGGGTAAACCCTTACAAAAACTGAGAGCTAACAGCTGTTGAGTCAGTGCCATTTAGGCTAACCCAAGTGCTGTATAGGCTAACTGGGATGCTATTTAGGCTAACTGGAGCGCTATTTAGGCTAACCAGAGTGCTATATAGGCTTAACCAGAGTACTATATAGGCTTAACCAGAGTGCTATAAAGGCTTAACCAGAGTGCTATATAGGCCAACTGGAGCACTATTTAGGCTAACCAGAGTGCTATATAGGCTAACTAGAGTGCTATACAGGCTAACTGGAGTGCTATTTAGGCTAACTGCAGTGCCATTTTGTCATTTCACCATTTTTGCCTTTTAAACTCGCTCCTGCTAGGAGTACACAGCTAGTCCCCTGGGTGCATACAAATGCTCCTTCCCAGGTTCCTCTGTACCATTTGCAAATAACATATTAAATTTTTCTTGTATACTGCTTAGATCATGGTCAAGAAACTTATGGTAAATCAAGTAACAATGTGATTATTCAAGATTTCTTCTGTGTTTTCCAGATCCGTACAGGTTGTTCTACAAGAAGGGATGTTTAACTAAAAGTAGCTCTTTGAACAATCTTCACAAACAAAATAATTAATGTGGAGCTGTAGCAGATAGAATTGTGCATGCATGTACTGTTTTCCATAACCATATGTCTCAGCCGTTAAAATGCACATTGCTAAGCCTACTGAAAATAAGTGTTCACAGGTGAGTAAATGTGAATACTGTACATTTCTTGATTTGTAATGATGCAAGTTAAAATTTGACACAAGACTAAATTTATATAATATGGTTCAAAAAAAATTCATTCCATAAAATTCACTCTTTTAACAAAACACGGATTATAAAATTATGATAAATACTTACGGTTCTGTAATATTTCTGCCACTAAGCAAAACATAGTTGTGATCTCAGAAGGAAAAATTATGAACATTCAAAACTTTGTCAGGCATGAAAAGCACAATACAATAGTAGCCTATCAGGAACAGTTTGCTCAAACTGGTCACTAAACACGTGGTCCTTTTCATAAGTGATAACAATGATTGTGCAATGCATAATTTGTTTTGTTATTTTTAGAGTCAGAATACAGTTTCTAGCCATGCATATAGAAATAAGTCTCATGTTTCTCTTTAATACTATTTAGTGCTTTTTCTTCACAATGGGATCACAATGTCCCTTGAACAATTTTACTCAAAAAAATGATCAATCACTCAGACAAGGGTTAACCAACCATGATATTTCAGCCACAAAACATCCATAGTTTATCTAATTTATATCATGGTC